GCCTCATCATTGATAACAAGTTCAACTGGATTCAGGACTTACACAACAAAAACTCACCACTATGAAAATAGCACAAGCTCTGAAAAACAAGACAATACGTGGTTACTCATGGGGCTTGAACCACCGAATTATGAAAATACTACATACAACCGTCGTGAACAAGATCATCACATATGGAGCAGCTATTTGGGCAATACCTATGACCACCAGGAAAGGTGCGAGCTCTAAACGCCATACAAAGACCTTTCCTTATAAATATCACCAGAGCATTCTCTACTACCTCTAACAACGCCCTACAGACACTGGCACTGACAGGTGTGCTCCCGCTCTCAATCCAAGCACAAATGGACGCAATCTCCACAATAGTCCTCCAACTCAAGAAAACAACTAACTTTAATGACACCACATTCCACCCAACAGACTACGAAGATCAGCCTAAAAAGTACTTTCATCACCCAGCTTTGCATCTTCAAAACCTGCACTGCATTTTCTACAAACCACCACCCACAATGGAATACACGGCTTTCACTGACGGCTCAAAGATCGAACAAAAAGTTGGCAGCGCTGCAACCCTCCAATATAACCTTAGCTCACACACAGAATGGCAAGGGCACCTTAGAGATCTAAACAGCGTACACCAAGCTGAACTGACAGCAATTCTCTACAGTATGCAAGAGCTCCACCAACTACCAACGGACACAGTCCATATCGTCAGTGACAGCCAATCATCAGTCTATGCTATAAAAAACACCCCTGCAAAAATTCACCAATATCCCGTCAAATACAAACAATTATTAATTTTTAGCCAAAAGAACTTCGTTCTTACAAGGACGAAAGGTCATAGCAATTGCCCCGGGAATGAAAGAGCGGACTTCCTGGCAAAGCAGGCAGCCCTCGAACAGTCAGTGCTTGCACTGGCATCCAGATCATGGGTCCATCTGCACAGCTGGACATTATTCAACTAGTCTATCTAAGCTTCTTTACATAATTTCTAAGTCCATGTTTCATATAAATCTCCTCTAAGATATTAATTGTTTCGCAGATTAATTGAAAGTTACGTCTTAATTTATTGAAAGTTACTTAGCTGGCAATTTAGTATGTTCACTTCCACTAATAAAAGAAAAGCTTTAAAAACTCTGCTTAGGAATAAAACAAAATTTATTCGTATCAGATTCATAAAGTGCCTTTAAACTTATGTTAGATTGCGAGCTCTATGACAGCTTAAATTTAGTCATCGGTTTTTGTGCATTAATGACAGAATTTTTTTTTACAGTTACTAACATTTCGTTTTATACTTTATAAATGAGTTAGGATTTATCTATTTATTTTTAACTAATAGATAATTTTGACCACTTGTCCAGGGACGATGCGCAAGCAGTTCAGAACCCACGGTTAAGCAGATATGAGGGCACTGCCGGCCATGGCTCTCTATGGGTTGTTTGTGCCGTTGAGTTTCAGTTTAGTTTTAATAGTTAATTTTCAGTTAAAATGCTTTTCTGTCACTCTCTTTTCACCCTTGATCTTTCCTGCCAGAATGTAAATGAGATAGCGAGCATTTATTGAGATTGAGGGGAAAGGAAGTACTATTTAAGCGATGATTTCGCAAGCTGATTTTAGAGCTTGTTCTGCCTACTTGAGGCCGCATTGTTACCATGACTTAATAGCGATTTATTTCTGTGGCGTTGAGTACATCTAGACATTAGGCTTGTGTCTCCGGTTTTCTACAAACCAGGGCCTTCCTTCCTTCCTTTCCTGCTCGTTACTTTATCCTGTGAGCCTTTAGACTAATTTTACTACATTTGATTTTAGTTCAACATTCCTTACTTAAGTTCAGACAGAAGTACTCTCTTGTGTAAACCCAAGTTGGGTCATTGTTATTTCCTTATGTTCAAATAAAAGGGTCGTATACACCCTTCTTCTGAGTTTTGTTTTCGTTTCATAAGACTTAAAGATAATACTTAAATAGTCTTTTAAAGTTCGGTAGTATATGCATCCTAAGAATACCAGACATTATAAAGTTTATGTTTTAAGTTTTTTTTTCCTGTTATAGCTAATTATGACAATAAATTTCTAATTCGGCTATGATAAAAATTTCCATTTCAGTCAACAGTGCTTTTTCTGTTTAAAAATGCATTTCTTCCCTCAAAACGGAAACATGTTACAGCATTTTTATAGCATGTTTAAGAACAAAGGAGGTTTAAATGATGCAAAATAAGTTTCACATGCATGTTTCTGCTACAGAAGTGTGTACTCTTTAACTCAAAAGCACCTATTTTTAACTAAAAATTTAACTCTTAATTGAAATTACGGAATTCTGCCAAAAATTACGAAGCTCTATATATTTAACAGAAGCAACGTTCTTATCCTAACTTCATACTGAAAAGTCGATAGGTTTTTTTTTATTATTATTTTATTTATTTATTTATTTATATTTTTTTATTTTATTTTACGCGTCGCAACTGATTAAGCTACCAAAGCATTTATTACCTAAATGGCTTAGCAAATTTCTTGTTCTGAAAGGTTTTGTCAATTCTCTTCTTACAAAAAAAGAATTTTAACTATTAAGTTAAAACTGCGAATTACATAACAAACTAAGCAGTATAAAACAATGTATATCTATTTCTTAAAAATATATAAGTCATGTTTTAGCAGCATACCTAATTGATTTAAAAATGAAAACTAAACTGATTAACTGAAAAAAATGAAAATTCAAATTTAATAAAAATATACCTAACTTACATTAGATATGAATAACAGAGCTGGTAATTTTGCAAACATTAGCAATAGCAGTAAAATTTATGAAAGATAGTTTTAATATCAGTAATTTTACACTTTGGCGCACAATATGCATTAAGTTTCTTTCATCCTTGCTATTTTTACTTTACATTTTTAAAATTTAGTTTATTTTGAAATTTTCAAACTAGACTATACCGAAAAAAGACCATATGCAATATGGCTCTATTCTAATAGTGCTGCTGAGAAAAAGTATTTTGTACTTAAAGCTCAAACTAATCATTTGAGAAGAAAAGCATTAAATCTTGTTCCAAATTTCTTCTTCTAAATATGGTAAATTTATTTTAAGTAATAATATAGATAATTAGATCACGATAATGTTCAGTTTTGTGTTCATCGTAAAAAGTCGTTTGCTTTTTCTGAAAGTATGGAAATTCATACAATGAGTAGAATTCAATCATTTTTAAAGCGAAATTTTATGACAAAGTGCTCTAATAAAAATGCTGCAATATGGAAATCTGTTCATAAACTTAACACGTTTTTGAGTACTGGGAGCTATATAACGTTTCCAATGGAAATTATACATAAAAGCTAGACTAGTAAGATGTTTATAATTTTTAAAGTCAGGAATATTTATAAATGAGTAAATCATTATTAATATTCAGCAAAACTCTATACAACTATTATGTTAACATACAACTATTATGTTAAAAAGCACTTTTATGTCAAAGCAGTTTTATACTAAAATTTTATACTGGATCTTGAAAGACTTTTTTCACGAAAATCTTAAATAATTACATGCTTCCCAAACGGGATAGTGATTAATGACTATGAATACCGTACCAAAGGATCCGGGTTCGAATCTCGGAGAAGGTATGAATGTTTATAAATGAATAATTTCTTTGCTGCATGGGGGGCATTCTAAATATATAGCAAGCCGAAAGCTCTATCGTGTGCTTTGGCGGTCGAGGAAAAAGGGATGGGAGACTTCGGACCCATCCCCCGGGATGCTCTCTCTCTCAAAACTGGGGTGGAACTGGGCAAAATCGTACTGTCACCTATATGATGTCCAATGTACTCTTTGCCATCATAAATTTTATGGGCTTGTTCTGATGATAAGGTTGACAGGTGCGATTAGTCTTAACACGATAACACTAATTGCATACACAGTTCTAATTTTAATTAACACTTAGGTGTTATATTTAGCGAAAAATTAGCATGTGAATCAAAATTTAAGCAATGCGAAATGCATAACTTTCGTTTCGCAATTTTTATATGAAATAAATTTGCTAAATTTACATAAATTCCATTTCATGCTATTTGCTACTCTGTGAAAAGAGACTAAAATACGGACAAAATAATACCATTACATTAAAGTTCAGTACGTTTTTGATTATGACGGTTACAATTACAAACAATACAAAGATTTTTGATTTTCTATTACTTTTTTCTTTACATTAAAGTTTAGTTTTGTTTTGATTACAAAGAATGTTTTAGTAGTTGGATTTTGTTGCTAATATCATTTATTAGTTATAAAATTATTTGCCAGCTTTCGTTTCTCATGTACGCATATAATAGGATAACTAATGAGAAGTAGAAAAAATTAAAATTTAATTAACATTCTTGATTTTTATTCTACTTTTCTTATTAACTGCAATTCTATTTATTTTGCTCGTAATTCTGTTTTACTATTCGTTTCATTCATTTAATTACGTTGACACATATACATATACATTTATTATTTATATATTAACATAAATATGCGCAGAAATGATGCTCATTGCCGTATCCATTGAACCTTTTGCATAGCATCACTGATTTCTTTCTTTCTATTATATATTGTTCTCAATTGCTCTGCAATAAGTTGAAATTAAATAAGTTACTATTAATTATAAATGCAAACATATTTAATTTGCAAGATATCTAAACATACCTAAATTTTAGCATTACCGAACATTAAAATATACTTTCAGATTAGTTACTTTATTACACAAACTAAGCTGCAATTATATATAAAATATTTTTCAAATGGTATCAATGAAATTTATAAAATAGAAGCATTCTTTTAATTAAATTAAACCTTACTTCAAAGAGAATAAAATTAAACTAAAAACCTTCCTTCATAGAGAAAGAAATTAATTTTAAATTTCACTTGTAATTCAGAAAAGAAAGAAAATTAATAAATGTACTATTAGCACTTTCAATATGCTTGATTAATGCAACTAAATATATTTCTTTAATTTCTAATTTCACTTACGGCCATTCGCAGCTTAGATTTTTGCCATCAACATCGGCGGTGTTTCTGAAGAAAGAGGACTATGGTTTTCAATGGAATTTTCTGGAGATTCTGATTCAGCTAAGTAGACATTGTCTTTCGTAATTAGTACTGGGCATGCTTCTGCAGAAAATTTCATAGCCGACGTTTCATTACTTATTCCGGAAGTTGTACTGTCTTCATCGCTCGCTGAAAACGAATAATATATCGCCTTCTGGTGTTCACCATCCAACAAAGGTTTCGTCTCCTCAGAAATCAATTCCTTCTGATCAAAGCAAAGCAAAAGTGAAGATCCCGTAATGAGAACCAGAGCAATCGTTAGAATAATACCTAATATAGAATATATCACTTCCTTTGGCTTCATGATGTCCTTGATTATAGTATCAGCCAGTTCTTGAGTTAGTTTTGCGGACATTTCGATCCAAAAAACGGGATAAAGTCCAGGATTTATTTTCTCGAACTCACTAAGGTAGCGAACTTGCGCAATTTTCAGATTCATTTGAAAACGAAGTTTCAGATCCACGGACACGCCAATAGTAGGTGCAATGTCTATATGAGAACCATGTTTGTTTTTCGAAGGATTCAAGCCTGACACGTTTTGAAGGTAGGAGGGATCAGATAAATAGAAATGTGGAAACGTCAACACAACTGGAGCACCAAACTGGCAGGGACTGAGATCTTGGGTCCCTGATTTTAAATCGAGGTCAGTTTCGAAGCACCAGTTATCGGAATTTATAGAGGAAGAAGCAAGAGTTTCTGTACTGCTCTCGAACCTTCTGCAAAATATATTGTTGTGATTTAAGTCCCTACTGTAGTTAAACGTCAATGATCTGCATATGAGAGGTTGAAAAAATGTGTAATTCTTCTGATTTTTCATCAATGCTGGTCCAACCTCCGCATTAGTGCCATTCATCATATTACAAGTATCATCTTTCCAGAACTTCAATTTCTCGGAACCATTCCACTCTTTGATAAAATTCATCTTCTTGTGGTCTGTCTCTCCCGTAAAAACAGTAAACAATCCCTCATCTGTAGCGTTTTTCCCGTACAGCCAAGAAAATATACCATTCTTATATGGAATATCGCTTTTTATGTATGCACCATATTTAATGATACTATCTTTGTAACCTTTAAAAGCAAGCTCTGCTACAGACTTTTTAATGATGAGTGTTTCTTTATTTCCTTTAAAAAATGCATCGGCAATCTGTTTTTCTATAAAGCTCTTGTCCTTTAAAAGAGCAGACGCAATTACGAGGGGACCATTGAGTGTATAAATGGCATCATCTTCGCTACCTACAGAATTTTCTTTATCGAAATGATATGTTTTTTTCTCTCTGTAAGACACTGTACCATTAAGCCAAGAAATATCTTCTTTAACCCAGCTGCCTTTATAAGTGTAAGGACCAACTTCTTGCACCTTCAAAATTTCGTTATTGTTTATAAAATTTTCTGCATTTGTTACATTGAAGAAATATATCTTTTCGTAAATAGGTAAGGGTAAATCTTTCCAAATGTTATAAAGAATGGTATTATTTACCAGAGTTGTTTCATAATCCAAAGCTTTTCTGTAATAAATCGAGAAGAAAGCAAGGATTCCTATAAATGCGGCGAATAATAATAAGCCAAAAGAAAGAATGCAGTAAGATGTCTTTTTCGACCAAACCATTTTCTGTAAAGCTCACAGAAACAAAACTTCCCTAGAATGTTCTAAATGAGTAATATTCCCGGAAGTGAATCTCGTTTTCTTAAATTTCTTATCAGAGCAGTTTCTTCTGACTCACTCTGCATGAGCGCATTGACCACGAGGAACAGTAAGACGTGCTGTGTTACAGAGATCGGAAAATTTAGAATTTATGCCGAACATGATAAAGAAAAGTCAGTAAACTAGATATAATCTGATAGCTGTTACATTTTGTTTAAGTTATCTATTATCATTGATTAAAGCTTAAATGCTTTTAAAGATGTATTTTTCATACAATTAAAACTAAAATAAAAACACAACTTTTAAATTAATGCTCACACTTACCAGAAGACCCCGAGTCCCTGAGTTGAGGATTACCCTTCTTTATGATGTACCATTCTTTCAGAACTAGCGTTTAAAATTATTCATTATATTATTTTAGAATTATGTAGTCAAAATGATAATTAGATAATTGATTTTTTTCTTTAAGGAGCAGGGTCAGAACCAGAATTTGCTGCAACAGTTTCAAGTTTAACATCTCCATAGTAATGAACTGCGTAGACGAATCGGATTCAAATCTGATTCAGCAATGCCCTCTTTATCTTCTTCAGAATCATCTATCTCATTATGTGTAAAAAAATATTTACATAATCTATTTAAAATAAAATATGTTATTTATATAAACAATAATTAATTATCATCATTATGATCATTTTTATCGTTGCCATTATTAGCACCTTAGATGCTATTATTCTCGATCGTCAAATTTTTGTCCGTATCATATTTCACATAAAAGTATGTTGCCCGAAAATATTATCGGCGTGTATAATTTTTAAAGAAATAAGATAGCAATATAAAATATATATGGCATCACATGCCACACTATCGGAAATCTAAAGATATACTATTTCTAATACTTTGTGATTTTGCTGTTGAACTTTTTATGGCGCAACTGCGAATAAAGTGATGTTTAATAAACAAACGGTAGAAAAATTAAATAATAAAAAGTCTTTAAAAGATGTGTAAGTCATCTGAGAAAACTGAATATTGATATGATGAACTGAGAAAAGACTTTAAAAAATCGCAAAATGTGCGGCATCACTTAACAATATATCGGGTGTTCTAAAAGTACTTTACCTCCTGTTTTTAAAAATTTCGTAATTTTATTGATAACCATTCTGTGATGTAAGTATAAAGAAAGAGTAGTTCAATAATAAAGTTATAAAGACAAAAAAAAAAAAAAAAGTTATGTTAGCAAATGGAAGTCCAAGAGTAGATTGATAATCTGCTAGCTTCTGGAGAGCTTAAAAACCTTAACAAAGCCTCTTGTGTCACCTGAAATTCTGAGTCCTTTCTGAACTTTTTTAAACTATTATTATCATTATTGTGATCAGTCATTATTATATTGTTGCGTTTTATTCTTTCTTCACCTTCGTACGGGGTTCGTGTGGATTTGGAGTGAATAATGACAATACTACTTGATAAAGTATCGAAACACACTTTATTGGGCCAATATTTAATCAGGACAGCTCCAAAGTCACTTTTACAGTCGTCGAAGATCTACTATAAACACTCGCTGGAACAATCAGCGACACAGCCTTCAGGGTATCAGGCTATCACAGTGGAGACAGCTTCACTGCAAAGCACCAGAGTTCAGCTACCAACTCTGCTTGGTTGTTCTCGGAACTCCACGTACTCTCGAAACTCTTCACGCTGCAGCTCGGGATGCACTCGACACACAGAGCACAGCTCCCGACTCTTCGGTTCAGTCGTTTCTGAAGCTCAATACGCTCTCTCGACGATGCACTAAGAGACTCCTTCCGTGCACAACCCACTCGACACTCGCTGCCCGGCTGTCAACTCGATCGACTCCTCAGGGACTGACTCGCTAGACGAGACACTAACTCAATACTGACTATCAGCTCGCTAGCCTAGGCACTTACATACACACTCGCCCTCTCGACAAGGTAAACTGACTGACTGCGGACCAGCAGGCTTTATATAGCTTTCGGCCTGTGTTCGAGAAAATATTCTGGGCTAAACCGGTAAGAATTCATTCCGGAAGGTTCTCCATCCGTCCATGGGATATCGCCAATTTTGTTACCAAATGGTGCGATTTCTCGCCAAATATGGCAACTTTGCCTTTCCTTGCCATTTTATGGCAACCCTAAAAACTGCTTTGCGGGGAAGCCATCTTACCGCGCCTGTACATTTCGTAACAATATATACACTGCTGATCGTTGATTCTAGTCGCTCTCCATTTTTTATCTGCGAAGGTAGTTTAAGACAACTTCTATCCCCCACCACACACACACGAGGTATTTACAAATTTGTCGGCTCAGGCAACTAGCGTTTGCAAGTAAGATTCCCGAGCATGTACTGCTAGCCCAGTAGAACATGTCACCGATTTTCTAACACGCAAGTTCATAAAATGCGGTGTAGCAATTATACGTTATCGTACAGTATTTTCAACGAATATTCTATAAAAAGAATTATATTTTTGTACTACACTCAGTATTATTTCCCATGTTTAATGCTATTACATTTTTATTATATTTTATATTATCATGTTCATTCATGATAAGATATTACAATAACTTTAACAAACGCCTGTGAAGTACAGTGAAATCCGTCTTAACCGGCACCCAATTTACCGACGATATCGAAATAATGATACTTTTATCTAAACTTAAATCCTAAATTTAGGGCTATGAGATTAAAAATGAAGTATAATGAATTAACAATCTGAATACATTGCTGTTATATTTCTGCTGCCCAGCGTAACAAGCCTTATCCAGTCAACGAAATATGCAAGATATAAAGACGAATTTCCGATCCTTTTTATGCAGCAATGTGAGAAATCTGAAGCTAGTGTCTTAATATCTCAACTGTACTCCTTTCCCAAGTGGCTTAATAGACATCAGTTAAACATGAAAATCCTTGAAATTTCGCACTAAAGAACATGAGACTACCATTGTGAATTAGAAACACACAAATCCCCTATTGCCCATCATTGCTAGTCAAAAATCATATTTTCCGCTTTTTGTTCTAAAATTATTCGCAAAAATGCCTTCCAATGATGAATTAGATTTCTTGGAGGCTTTTTACATCTATAAAAATCTTTCGGTTCTTGTTAATTATCCCACTCTAATCCGCGTTTGTCGTCGGCTTAAAAAAAATTTTTTTAGTTGCTCTTCGTTCACATGAGTGTCAACAGATGGCGCCAATGGCTTTAGTTTCTATCATTTAATTGAGAACTCAAATTTCGTACCTTGTTGTCCATGATTGGTTTTGTTTTCTGACTGAGCGATGTATCCCCTTCCTCTTTTTTCCTACCTGCTTTGCTCTCTTCGGGGTTACTACTTCGGAACTGATACACGTGATGCGCCCTTGTGCCAATATTTTTATACTATTAATATTAGTGAGCAATACTATACAATATTAGTGAGCCGGAAACACACTGGCAATATCGGAACAGTCAGTCCCAATCATGTTTTACCTGTAGCAATCGCCGAAGTACATGTCTCTGCCAACATTTTTCACTTTTACTAATGAACAAGAACGTACTACTTAACCCTCGAAACCTGCATATTAACTTACATTACACCAATTCTTGCTTTTACATGTTTTACTTTTACGCCGATTCTTGCTTTATAGTTTCTTTAATATTTGTTACTTAAGAATTATAAAACTCATGCTAGTTTAGAAAAAGTAAACTAAAATAATTAACTTTTTAGGCAGCAGAAAATGTGAAAAATTAATTATTTCAAAATTTCTGCACTTTAGTTGAATCCGAAAAAAATTAATAATTAGAAAATTTCCGTAGGAATCTCCTTTTTACTTTAAATTTTACGAATTAATATTAATGTTAAATTAAAATGGTATTTGTTGGCAACCGCCGTCGATTTCCCTAGCGCATGCGCGTGATAAGCAAGTTCTCTGCTGCGTAATACTTATACTTAGTTAATACGCAGTTAGCCAAAGTCAATGGTGAGTATTGCATGTAAAAGAGAAGTGCAAAGCGCTGTGCAATATCATGTTTCTACTCTGCTGTTCAACGTCTTCATAGTTTAAATAAATGTTTGTTATGTACATAGAAGACGTCATTTTATTCTTCAGTATTGATAGACAAAATATATTTATTTAACTGTATTCAACAACTCTGCTCATATCACAACATAACATTGTACTGAAACATCAGGTTAACCAGGAGAGATAAAAAGATCATCTCTTCTTCCCTCTTTCTTCAGTTGAAAATGTCAGTACTTGCGGAAAATTGCATAAATTACTCCTATCTGCAACTAGGAGAGAGGAGGCAGAAAGAGAAAAATTTTTAAAAATTATTACTATTAATAATATTCACTCTTATTAATTAGAAAAATCATGCCTCAAAATCTTGTATAAATGCCAAGTAGAAAAATTGTAACATAAAAATTTTCACACAAAATTCAAACATATGGTATAATTTCGGGGAATTTAATAAAACTATACATTTTAATTAACAATAGAACTAACATTGTATAGTAATCATACTAGCAAAGCTCTAACTATTTTTTACAGTATCTGTGAGCATAAAAGACTGATTTTTTAATACTAAATATATTCTACAAAAGTTTAAACCATTCGCTCCTCGGTTTTAATGAGAGAAAAATACAGCACAGCTTCGATAAGTTGAATTTACAATAGAATGTCAAACTATAAAATTCGAAATTAGTTCGTTATTTTTCCTGCATAATTTTTTTATGTTCATTTCAGCTTCCGGTCGTCAGCGGTGGACTGTATTTAGTTTTATGCTTGACAATGATTCCGTTTAAACCAAAATTTAAATCAATACAAGGCAATTTTTCCAGAACTATTTTGAAGGAACAATGCAATAGTATTAAATTCGAAGGAATATTTTGTTAAATGCTTTAGAACAATTACGCAGAAATGTCAGGATTCTGGAAAATTTCAGAAAGTTTTTGGTTATATACCAGAAACCTATAAATATGATGCACATTAAAAATTGATCTTCGACGTGCTACTCACATTCACAAAGCTTCTTAAAATAAAGTACAAAAGTTTAAGTAACGGATTCAGTATTATATATGGGAGGTTTCTTGTAAAATTAATACTTTACGCAGTCTTTGTAAAGCGAAAATTTTAGTTAGAAAAGCTTTCATTATGCCTTCTAATTTAAAAAAAAAAATGAACGAACGAATCGCACCTTTACATGCACGCGCAAAATTCGCTGATATTCCAGAAGGAATGAATTAAACTAACTTCTTTATACCCGTTCCAAATTTAAATTCGAAATTCCAGTTGGCGATAATGATTTATTGACTAAAGTAGCTTTTTTTAAATAAATGGCTCATCCTTTTAAAATTAGTTGACGATCATTAAAATGACCATTCCGTTACATCGACAACGGGGCGAAATTTCCAAGCTGATGAAGGTACATTAAATTCCTTTTCTTTACAACTATCTCTTATTGTAACATCCTTTTTTTTAGGACGAGAGGAACGTCAACAGTAATTACAAGAGTATATCTGAAAATCTTGCATGCAAAGGTATTGAGCGTTCTATTTTTACTTATTATTTATTTAAAAGCATAATGAATAATTTTCTAACTAAAATTATTTTGTTGGGTGAAGCATGTAAAAAAATTAAGCTTTAATTCAACAAAACTCCTTTCTTCCATCATACCAGTACCATGTTTTATTTGTTTTTACAAAATGCTTTATTTTGTTTTTTAAAAAAATGGTAAATAAAAGTTTAAATAGGTAAAAAGCTTAAATATTTAGCGTGTGTGTGATTATGGCAAAGCCTCGAGGGCTATCTGCCTAAGAGGAGGGATGCCTTTCTAAGGGAAACTGGCTCGTATACACGTTACACATGGGGAAAACCACGAAAACGCATATGCAGCCAGCCCGTTCGCGGGATTCGAACCTCGGACCGAACTACCAGTGTTCAGCGATTTTACCGCTCGGCCGCTGGTGGGCCTGTTTAAATGTTTAGAAAAACAAAATACGTAGCCGTTTTTCGAACAACTTGTTTAACATAGGATTTAACATGTAATTTTATAAACTTTTTCCTAGAGCGCATTAAAGTGTAATACTAAATAGCCTTTCGTACTTTACAAACAAATTTAGATGTCTGTGTCAAGAAAATTATTGCATTTAATATTTCAAATGAAACTGAAATCTCACTACTCTATAATGCAACTAAATAAATGCAAAATATCACGATAATGACTCTTTTGTGATACTCGGCATGTGTTTTAATACTTAATATTACATGTCTACAAAAGTGTTTTGGGATTCTTTTTAAATCTTAAAGCTTCATTAATGGTCATTTAATTGTAAGTTTACTGAAAATATTATTTAACTAAACCTGACTTTGATTTAATGAGTACATAAAAATCGAAAAAAGTTTTATAAAATTTTTTCCTCAATTTTCTTTCACATATTATTTTTTAAATATATTTCTTTTGTATATAGCTCATCACAGTAAAAATAAAATATTAGATGAAATATGAAGCTTTTTCATTTTCATAACTCAAACTCCAGTCATAATTATTTTTTCACCCCTAATTAGAAAATTTTAATAAAGAAGTACAACAATTTATAATCATACTCCACTTTAATAAAGAAGTACAACAATTTTATAATCATATTCGAAAATTTAATACACATTGTTTATTAAATAATAAATTAAAAGCACGTACACATTCTGACTATTTAATATACAACAGATAAAAAAATAAGGTAGAAAATGTTATTAAAAAATAATTAAAACTGCCAATCAAAATTTAAACTGTTAATACATTACAGTATATTTGCTACTAGTGAAACAAATGTTTGAAAAGTATAAGCTCATGTATACACACACACACACACACACATATATATATATATATGTGTAATGTTTTCAGTTATTCCAACACATCGTGGGTGAATGGTGAGGCTATTCCATTTCACGTTTTGGCAGATGGTTGACGAAGCTGGGATGATTGCACCACGGAGAAAAATTAAGACTCAGGACTTTTCCCTTTTAACAGCATATCTTTATTTTATTTTAGAGCAGATGATTTTTTCCAGATGAAGTTACTCAAATAACTTATTCAGTAATTGAATAATTAGATACGAATGACTTTAATACGTTATAACGTTCTAACAAAGAAAGAGGAGCATAGCGGAGGCGTTAGCAGAACGAAGGCGGGAGGGCATCTGTGTAGGAGAACTTATGACGCAGCATTTATATGAAAGGTTATGTAACAGAGTAGCTTCTAGAAAAATGTAGAAAAACTTATGACGCATCATTTATATGAGGAGGTTATGTAATAGGCGCGAATGTTCTAGAAGGTACTGGTTCAGGGGAAGATCCTGAATTGCAGAAAATTAATTAAAGGTTGCTGGTTCGCAAAGAGCAAAGCCATCGTATTTTTTTATATTTTACATATATATATATATCTATACATGTATAGATATATATATAGCAAAATAAATAAAAGTAAAACTTACAAAAATAAAAATCTGAAAGGTTTCAGAAAATAATAAAAATATTTATTTTATGTAAAAATCTTAATTCGGGAACGAAAAACTAAATTTTAAAGCCTAAAGAAATAAATATATTGCCAGAAAGAAAATTAATAATTTTAGCATTAACATTTTAAGCAGATTTGACAAATGTAATTATTTATTTAATTTTAATGTCACTTACGGCTATTTGCAGTCGCATCGTTGCTTACATCCTGTTAGTGAGATAACTTCGCACTTTTACTAACATTTTTTGAAAATTTTGTGGCAATATATTGCTGATAACCTTGTCTAATGGTATTAGCTGATACCATTAGCCAGTCTAATATATTGGTAATAAAAATGGAACTTCATCAAACGAATAAAAAGTGGAATAATACGGCTTTTTCCCACATTCTAACAAAGATTTCTTTTCTCTATAAAGCACTTCTTTCTTGGGTAAACACAATAACAGCGACGATACGGTAATTAGAAAGAGTGCAGTAGTTAAAAGAATCCATAATAACCAATTTATTGCTTCCTTTGGTCCAGTGAGCCTTTCAGTTATAATATCTGTCAGTTCTTGGGTAAGTTTTGCAAACATTTCTACCCAAAATACAGGATAAATTCCAGGATTTATATCCTCTAATTCATCTATGTTCGGAACTTGCTGAATTTTCAGATTCACCTGGAAGCGCAAACACAAATCCACTGATACTCCAATAACTGGCGCAACGTCTATATGAGAACCATGCTTTTCTTTGTCAGGACTCAAACCGGACACATTTTGTAAGTAAGAAGGGTCCAATAAATAGAAATGGGAAAACGTCAGCACAACCGGAGCACTAAACTGGCAGAGACTGAGATCCTGAGTCCCGGATTTTAAATCAGGGTCAGTTTCGAAGCACCAGTTATCAGGATTTATAGAGGAAGAAGCAATAGTTTCCGTACTGCTCTCGAACCTTCTGAAAAATATAGTTTTATGATTTACGTCTCTATTGTAATTAAACGTCAACGATCTGCATATGAGGGGTTGAAAAAATGTATAAGTGTTTTGATTCTCAGTCAAAGCTGGTCCAACCTCAGCATTAATGCCATTCATCATATTATAAGTATCATCCTTCCAGAAATTTAACTTCTTGGAGACATTCCACTCTTTCATTCATCTTCTAGTGGTCTGTCTCTCCCGTAAAAACAGTAAACAATCCCTCATCTGTAGCGTTTTTCCCGTACAGCCAAGAAAATATACCTTTCTTGTACGGAATATTACGTTTTACGTACTTGCCATATTTAATAATACTGTCTTCGTATCCTTTAAAGGCGAGTTCTGCCACAGTCTTCTTTATAATGAGTGTTTCGCCGAGAGTATAAAAAAAACTACCGGCAGCACTTCTAATTAAAATGTTCTTTTCCTTTAAAACATCAAATGCAATTATGAATGGGCCATTCAGAGTATAAATGACATCATTCTCACCACCCACAAAGTTTTCTTTATCGAAGTAGTAGGTTTTTTTTTTTCTCTCTCTAAGACACAGTACCGTTAAACCAAGAAATACCTTCTTTAACCCATGTACTTTTGTAAGTGTAAGGACCAACTTCTTGTACTTTCAGTATTTCACTGTTGTTAACAAATTCCTCAGCATTTGTTATATTAAAGAAGTACAACTTCTCATAAACAGGTAGAGGTAAATCTTTCCACATGTCGTAAAGAATGGTATTATTTACTAATGTTGTTTCGTAATCCAAAGTTTTTTTATAATAAACTAGAAACAGGATAGTAATTCCTATACATACGATGACGAGTAAGAAACCCAAAGCCAGAATACAGTAAGATGTATTTTTTTAAGTATACTCAGACATTTTGCTCGTTACTGCAGACTTTATAGAAATAAAACTGCTCCTCTCTAAAACTTTTCAGCAACTACAGTCAGGCAAGGTACCCTCTACTGTAAATTTTTATCAAAAACGTTTCTAATGACTCACTTAACGCGAAAGGATTGACCACAGAGAATTAAGGCCCATGCTGTGTTTCAGTGGTGAGTAAAGCAAGATAGAGTAAAAGATAAATGTAAAAAAAAGAATCTGAAAGGATCAAATTTTAACGGTCGCCTGAAAGAGCTTGTTGTTTCTGCGCCCCTTTTGTTGAGCTCGAAGTCTACAAGACTGCTCTTGCACTGACTGCTGCTAATGCCTTTTATTTTTCGGGAGGGAATCTTTTTAGCTTTAGGATTAGCACCGTTTTTTATCACACTTAAGCGACACACAGTTCAACAACTAACTCATAAAAGTCAATTCAACAGCAAAAACAAAAAATATTTTAGAAGACAGTCCATTTTAGAATTTCCGAGACCATCTTCTGCGCTGGAGATAAAATTGTTTTATTCCATACAGTGTTGCTAATACTCGCTTTCAAATCGTTGAGTTGTTAATCAAAATTCATAAAAGTTTTACTAAATAAGAAAATAAATACCAAAGCAAATTTAAATTAAAAATTCGGGCTTTCAAGTGCACAGATTTGGGTGGAGGAATATGTTATTCAGAATTTGATGGCTCTAGGTACCGTCATTTTTTCACAGTGCCAGGAAAATGCATACCCACATGCAAATTCTTCATAACTTAATGTCTTTAAAAATATTACGAGGAGGAGCAATATTTGGTGGCAACAGTTTGAAAAGTGGTACGCCGTTTATATTGAACCGACGCAAAATCTAATTTCGTGACTAATAGCTCCTTTTGGAGTAAAAAAGTACACCAAAGTACTAAACTAGGTTTAACTACATTTTATTTAATGTATGATCCAGGCACTTTACGAAGAAAAGTTAATTTCGACATTAAAAATCGTATGATTTCTAAGCTTTGTTTAAGGCATGACAAAACAATTCTGCATACGTTCTGTAGTAAGTCTGTTACGATAATTTAGGCGATAAGAAGCTGTTTTAGTGAAATTACTTACCAAAATTCTGAAAGATACCTGACCATTCATAACGCATCTGCTCCGCTGAAAACTTTACGGTTTAGTTTGTTTATGGCAAATCACTCGAGGGCTCTCTACTTAAAGGGAGGGATGCCTTCATGTAGGACTTTCTAAGAGAAACTGTCTCGTAGACATGTTACACATGTGAAAAACCACAAAAATACTCATATAGAACACAAGACCAAACTACCAGTGTTCAGCAATTTTACCGTTCAGCAGCTGAGGAATTGAAAATATTACAAAATTTTCATGAGATATTTCCTTCTTTCTTCTATAAGCTGATTGATTATCTTCTTCAACTTAAAAATTGCTTATTTATAAATTTTGGATTTTTTTTTTTTTCAATCTGGGAAGTAATTAAGAATATATGATTATCCAGGACAATTTCAGGAATCTGATAGCCCTGCAAATGCTAAAGAAACTTATATTTAGCAGATAAATGACACTAGGTTTTTGTTCCCTATTATTTGAATAGCACGTTCTCGAACTTATTCCAGTTTTTCTAAACGTACTCAAATATTTCTCTTTATACTTTGCCAGCTGGGATTGTTTGACTTTTACCACTACGAAATTGGAAGTTTATTCGTATTACTCTATTGCTACTTTTTAGAAACTTTTTTCACCTGCAATAGAAGTATGATGCAATGAATTACATTCAAAATATTACGTTTTCTATTTTCTTCATTTAAATTTAATTTAAACGTCAATTCATGTCAATTAAGAAATTCACTTGTTTACATTGAAATGATTATAGATATAAAAAAGTGTTAGGAGAGAAAAATAATCAAGAGGCAAATCAAACACATTGAACAAATTTTTAATTATATAATTTTCAAAAATAAGCAATGTCATTTTCAAAAAATGTTTTAAAAGACTTTAAAAAAATCGCTAAAAACATTGCCGCCCATATTCTTACATATAACACATTACATTGCATCTACAGCCCGCTGGCGACCGAGCGGTAAAGTCACTGAACACTGGTAGTTAGGTCTGAGGTTTGAATCCGCGATCGGGCTGGTTTCACGAGCGGTTTCGTAGTTTTCCCCATGTGTAACGTGTATGCGAGTCAGTTTCCTTTAGAAAGACTTCCACGAAACATCCCTCCCCTTAGGCAGATAGTCCTCGAGGCTTTACCGTAATCACATAAAGCCAACCAACAGAACATTGCATCTACAATTACTATAGGCAGATAAAGAAAGGATTATGCTTAATTGTTTAATTTGTTATGACAAACCAATCAGAGGTTTATTTACAGACAGAGAAGGATGCCTTCCTAACGGACGTTCTGAGATAAATTTGTTTATTTTCACCATGAAAATGTCCATGCAGCCAGTCGGCTCGTCGGAATCTTAGAATAGGTTGAACTACTTGTGTAAGGCATTTCCACATCTGGTGGGCATAAAAGAGCTATGTGTGTGTTGCATATGTATTAGATAAAATTTTACATTTAATTTCCAATAGTTTGTTAAGTCTCCTTTCCAAATTCATTACTTTTCTATTCTGTTCTAAAACTAGTAACATGCCTATTGTAAGTCTCTTTGAACTGCATTATTTTAAAATTATATATCTGTAACGCTCCCAGAGTACGTACTTACATAGCAGTGAAGCGTTCTGTAGCCACTAAAATAACGTTAAATATTTCAATATTAATAAACCAATAGAAATAAAAGAAACTATAATTGTCGCACCTGAAGTGGCGTTAGTACATTAGGATCTCTACAGATGAAGATTACATAAATTTAGCTACGTCTACAATTTGGTGTTAAAAAAAAGAGCTATATTCATGGAAATTATTAACGATTAACAATATCGATTGCTAAATAAAGATAAAAATATATGAACAACAGTTTATATTTCCATCTTACTGATAGTCCCATTTACAATGCATATCATACATTGTTTACGTCAGATATATATACAGATGATCTGATCTTAATATTTATAATCAATAATTGCAAGAATTTATTAATTTTTTATCTAACCAATATTTTATGTTAAGTAGCTTTACAGTCATTCTCCCTTTTTATTTTCCTGCCAAAATGTGAATTTTAATCGCGCGTATTCAAATGAGGATAAAAGAGATACTATTTGAAGAACGTTTTAGATTGTATAATCAGAGCGTGTTCCGCCTGTTGAAGGCCACGTTACTAGTTGCGTTTCTACTACAGGAGTCTATCTTCAGCGTTATGTTATTCTTGCGAATAGTGCTTGTAACACCGATATATATTTAAGCAAACTTACTCGTTAATTATTCTTGCGTAGCCGTTGGCTAACTTATGGCGTAATTTGATTTTATTTTAAAATCATTACTTTTGAGTAACGCCATAAGTGCTGCCTTGTTTGTAAGCGCAAGAAGTGCCGTCTGTTAAATTATTTTGAGTTCTGATTAAAAGAATCTTTTATACCCTCCTTAAATTCTGTTTCATATTAAACATAGAGATAAATGGCTTACACGTCTCAAGTACTTGTCACAATTTACACTTGTTACAGTCACAATCCCTATATAATTTTGCTACTGATTCTCCTTATATTTTACAAATCAGTGCCCTTCCAAAGTTAATTTGAACATTAATATCCCAAAAGGGGCACTAACCCAAATGAGCTGCTATTCTTGAAACGGGATTTTGCGTTGAATCAGTACAAACGGCGTAACACTTTTCAAATTGTTGCCACCGGATATTATCGCCCAGCATTATTTTTAAAGAAATTGAAAAATGAAGAGTCTGCACGAATGTATGCATGTTTCTCCCACTGTGAAAAAACGATATTAATTGGGCCATCAAATTTTGAATAACGTAGACCTACTCCCGAATATGCGCATTTGGAACGCTCGATTTTGAATTTCGTATTTCCTTTATAATCTATTTCATATTTTGTAAACTTTATAATGAATTTGTGATTAATAAATTCAACGATTTGAAAGCGAGCAATGGTAACAATGTGGGAGTAAAAAATTTTTATCTCCAACCAGCGAGACTGTCTATCAGAAATTCTAAAGATGAGCTGTTTTTAAATATTTCGTGATTTTGACCCTGAATTGAAATTTATGTGGCTTAAGTGAGAAGAAGAACGTGATATTTAATGAATAACATTAACCCACAAAACGTTAGTAAGCCGTCCTAACTAAAAAAAATGAACAATGATTGTATGAACTGAGAAAAGACTGAAAAAAATTTTTAAAATGTATGCCAACACTTAACGCCGATAACAGCATTTTTTTTATTTCGCTGTATATGGCGCAAGAAAAATAATAAAGCTAAAATTAATTAATAATAAAAATAAGTAAATTAATAATAAAGCTAAAAAGACGAAATTCAAAGTGCCTTTTCCATGTCTTGAAAGCGCGACTTAGGATATAAGTTAGATTTATATATAGCATTATTCTAACATAGGTATTCTGATACAAAATCGAACTTTTTATGAAATAACATTTTTTTTTTCATATTTCGATTCTACGACTCAAATTATGCCGAGATATTAACTTTTGTAATTTTTGGTGAGAAATTTAAAAATTTATGTTGGCGCATTTTTTTCAATTTGCACCAAGAATAATTTACTTGGCGAATTTCTTAATTTATGGCAACCTATTTTCCTTTCCCTTTTTTTCATTGTACACTATGGGAAAAATGGTAATCGTTCATTACTTCAAATATTTTTAACAAAGTTCGTAAACCACACTTGGCGTTATTATCGCTTATAACGAATATACCAAAATATAAATTCATAT